CTGTGACTGGTTTCTCTTTTCTTTTGACAATGAGAGCTTCAGCATCTCTTCTATTCTCTCTTCTGCTCCAACTGACTCTCCTAAGAAGACAGCTAGGACTGATGAACATTTCCAAAAAAGGAAGGCAAACATCAGAATGACAAAAAGCCAAAGGCCAGGAAATAGGCTGATATGAGATCAGTCTTTCTTAGCCAAGGAGTTTGTCTCACCTCTGTTTTTTAATACATTAAATCATTCCACATGGTCATTGCTCTCTAGTAGCCTCTTCTCCTTGTATAACCTCCTTGTATTGCCTCCTTGGGGCAATAGGCTCCCAAAACAAATAGCTTTACAGTAAATGATTAGTCAAATATTAGAACAACCCAAAAAATACTTTGGATGATTTATCTTTCCATCAGAAAAAAGTTGAAAAGTAGAAAAATAGTATCTGTAGCAGCATTAACACTCATGAGCTCATTCATGAAACCAATCCATCTGAAAACTAAGAAAGAAAGTGCTTTATAAAAAATGATAGAAATGCATATCGCCTAGACCTGTTTTGGAAATCAAGATGGTTCTCTTAAGGACTCAGTATAAAGTAAGCTCAAACTATCTGCTCTGTTTTTTTTTAGACAAGTGGCTTGTTCTTTTCATTAGAAAAGAATTCTTCCATCCTGTAACACTTTACAGGTGACAAAGCACTCTTTTTTGAGGGTGACAAAGCACTGGAACAGGTTGCCCAGAGAGGTTGTGGAGTCTCCTTCTTTGGAGATCTTTAAAACCCGCTTGGATGCAGCCCTGTGCCACGTGCTCTAGGTGACCCTGCGTGAGCAGGGGGGTTGGACTCGATGACCTCTGAGGTCCCTTCCAACCTTTGGCATTCTATGATTCTATGATTTACAGTATGCACTTCTGCCTAGCACTGCTTAACAGAACAGTTACAAACTTGCTAAAATTCACCTGCATCACTTGAAGGAGATGGGAGAAAAAAGAAAAAGAAGAGAAAGGGCAGCAACTATCTGCAAGTCTTTTTAGCGCTCACATGCAAGAAGTCTGGACTTAGTCCAGGGAAAGCACTTCTCTGCTAGCAACATTTTTTATGGTAAGAGTCATTGAGGCTTTCTCCTCTCAGAGGGCAGCTAAGATGAAAAGGCTTTGCACTGTAATATAGCTTGATGTACTAACTCTTCTCAGTCTGCTCCAAGAATTTTATGTCATCTTTGCAGTCCCAGAACACATTCAAGATGGCTGTGATGCCTTAGGTGTCACGTCTAGTTGAGAAATCAATCTCTGCCACACCGAGTCACAAAGTGAGATTTCTCCTAGGAGAGAAGTTTTTTCAAGTCTGGCCTTAACATGCTAGTAGCCAGTTAAACAGTAGCATAATTAGAACAAAACAAGAAGTTTTGTTCTAATAAGAACTCCAGTGAGTTATTCCTGGTTTTGGACATGATGCTGCTTCCAAGAGAAGAGCCATACTTTAGAACATGGTAGTGTTTACGGTTAATTCTTTCCAGGGCCTGTAGGTCCAGGCCTGTACAACTCTCTCTGTCCTTGGATTTTTCCAAGTTCTCCATAGTGGTTTGTCTTCTGAGTTGGAACTGGCAGCTGTGTCCTTCCTCTCCTTCCAACCCTTTAAAAAAAAAGAAAAAACCCAACAACTTCTTTTCACTGCTGCCTCCTTTAAAATTAACACTGACGAGCACTACACAGTCAATTAGAAATTAGTCTGACCTACTGTATTGCTTTTTATTTCTAAACTTTGTCTTTAAGAAATATTTTAATTCAAGAAAAAAGCCTGAAAAATTGTCACAAACATTCTGCTGTGACTGACTTTCTAGAGAGGTTTATACACAGATCATCATCTTCCATACAGAACATCGCATGAGGGAATCAAGACAGTACATTTGCGCTTCTTGCTTTAAAAAGAATAATTAGAAGATTGCATTTTTTTTTTCACTTGACTCTATGTTAGCAACAATAGCCCTAAAGTTTGTTTGCTCTTTAAGTCTCTAAGTTTGGCTAACATTTAAGTATCAAGATACTGAAAAGCAGCATATTTGAGCGCATGCAAAAAATGTGCATTTGCATTCTTTAAGTCTTAAAGAATAAGCATAAATAAGTAAAGCTTCTATTTTCAGATGACAAGCAAACCGCTTAAATGAGTATTTTACTGCAACTCAAACAACCAAAAGTCTTTTGAATATATAGTAGCCATGCTCAGGTCAACTTCCATTTTGATGCAAATGCAACATGCTTCACTTTTTGCCCCAACAAGAAGTCATTTACTTCTTTCCAAATAGCTGATACTGTTGCACTTCAGGAGTGGCAACCTTTGAGTAAAGGGGCAAGCAACCACCATATGCTCAGTGTGTCCTCCCCACGCATTTATGCTTCACATGCTTCACATAAGTAAAATGGCATGTATCTCTACATAAAGCTGATAGAGGATACTGTTGGTTACCGTGATATTTTCCTCACAGTTTGCAGGAAATATGAAACATTACACAGTCAACTCCTGACAGAAGAATATTATCTAATACATACCTGCAGTAGTTTATATACATTACAATTCTCTGCTGGCCATAAGAGATAATAGTAAGCACAGGCATTATTATGGAATGAGTATATGCAAGGAAAGTCTATTCTGCCTCAATGTTTGTGCTCAAGTAACTTAGTAACACAGGATACGTCTGGGCACCAGAGAGTCCTGTTTCAGGTTATAGCACAAACTCATAATGCTTACCAAGTTCACTTGCACCTTTGTTAACTAACCTGTGGGCAACTGCTACAGAACTTGGGGCGCCCATAAAGCAGCATGCGCACACACGTGAGCAGGACTTGACGAGCACACCTAAATGCTTATCTTAAATCTTAAAATGATCTTAAAGCAGAGGGGAAGAAGGGAACACAAGGTATCTTTGTAATACTGACCATGCCCAAACAAGGACAGATTATATGGACTTAAAAAGTAAAGTTTGGACAAGCCATGTAGTTCAAGCAACAATTGATCTTCTCCTTTTTCGTTTGAATAACATTGGAATGAAATAATTACAGATTGATTTCTTTTAATACCATTTTAATATTATGATATAGCAAGTTTAGAGATATAAGACACAAACTTTGATTGTGTAAGGAATGAAGGAACAGTTAAGAAGAGAAAATAAAGACATGAAGCAGCATGGTTTAAGCGTGCTGAATAGTAACACAACCAAAGTGATATTAATTCATAATATTAGCAGCCTTTTGACCCAAATCTGTGCTTCCTCCCTCTAAATACAACTAGATGAAATTCAACACAGCTAATATATACAACTAAGCACTGAACAAATTAAAACATGATATTAGTAGACATTATCTGTACCAAAAATGCTAACATTTTTCTTCAATTTTTAACTTTATGAAAATAATTTTTGCTATATGTATTACAAAAGACCTATAGCTGCAAACTTTCCCATTCCCTGTAGCCAGAGAGTATTTTCCATTTATCATGTTTCTGCAATATTCAAACCTTGCTTTGGTCACACAGATACTCAACTATGGAATGACCCTCTATGAAATTGTGCTGGGAGTAGAAGCTAGAAGTTCTGAGTTCTTTCAAAATGGATATTAAAAATATTTTGTGTGTGAGTTCTTGTGAGTAAGAAACATTTTTTCTATATCATGGAAAGTTTATTATTATTATTATTAACAAAAAGCTTGATTACCTTAGGTGCTAGGGACTCAAAAATTTCAAAAAGTTCCTGAAACTACCCAAAAGGAGATTAGGGTGCTGAACATATGAAATAAATTCACTTAAAAAAACAAAGAGATGATAAATATATTGGCTTAGAAGAGTTGATTATTATCTAATAACAAATAATAAGCCAGCTAGAAGAAATAGATATTACCACCTTAGAAGGCCTTTTTTTTTTCAAATCACAACTCACAATGCATGCACATTGCACAAGTGCAATGATGTCCACTCTGCTCTCTTCATTAAAACAAAAAACCTTATGTCTTAAGAAGTATCTCTTCCCATTATGAAGTTTTTATTGAAAACTTCAAAATCCCCAAGAAACATAACAAATTATTATTCCAGTCCTTTTCAATTTGTATTCATATCCCTGATTATGCAGGCTCTGCCCTGCATAATCTACATGAATGCATTCTGTGTGAATGAGAAAGACAGTCAACATAGCTATAGACATCTCCACATGTTCCTCAACACACAAGCTAACTAACTAGGATGTTCTCTCTCTCTCTCTCTCTCTCTCTCTCTCTCTTTTTTTTTTTTTTTTTTTTTTTTTTCCCCTGGGATCTCTCTCACTCACATTTTCCTTGGATAATTTCTTGGTTAAGTTATAGAAATAACTATATTGAGTTTACATCAATCTTTTAATTAATTATATTACAAGCTAATAGGATTTACTTAAATCAACGGAACTACTTTGTGACTCAGTATCCTGCTTTATTACAACACCACAGAAGTAACTGGAGTGACCATCAGCACCCATCACCCATAATGAATTAAAAACTTGGAAATGGGACAACATCACAAAACTTGGGGGAAATGAATAAAGACTCTGCTTTCACATTACTCAAAACACACAAGTGGTCAGAGCATCTGTCTTTTTAACTGGCTAGATGCAGGCGAAGAGGATGCGACTGGCTGGATGCAGGTGAAAAGGATGTGCACATTGCAGAGGCATCTGCCTCTGCCACAAGCCTCCCAGCCCAGAGAGCAAGCAGTGCCCACAGACACGGCGCTCCAGAAGCCTCAAGCACGAGGGCATCAAGCACTCGGTTCTCGCTGCTGAGGGTTAAGATGAAAGGGGAAGGAAAGCGAGTTATTCCAGCAAACGCATCTCTCTCCCAGCTCTCAGCCTCACAGGGCGGCACTAGCTCTGCTGCCTCTCTAAGGGCGGCGAGCCCACGGCGGCAACTGCAGCCTCGTGCGGGGCATCGCGCTGCAGCCGGGCCCCGCCGCCACCTTCCCCCTCGTCAGGCGCGGGGGCTCCCTCGCGGCCGCCGCCCGTTACCTTGACGCTGCTGTGGCTGGTCTGGGTCTCGGCCTCGATGGCGCAGCAATGGGGCGCCCTGGCCCTGGCGGCGGCGCCGGGCTCCCCGCGCTCCCTGCGGCGGGGGCCGCTGCAGGGCGGCGCCGGGCGGCTCTGGTAGGCGAGCACCGAGGGGATGGAGTCGGCCGCGTCAGTCTTGATGAAGAGGCCGTGCAGGGTGGCGGCGCCCTGCGAGATGGTGGTGGTCTGGTGCGGGGAGTTGGACTCGTCCGAGTCGCGGCAGTAAATCACGCCGCTCTGCGAGACGTGGATGCTGGGGGCGCAGCCCATCCCT